TTTATAACTGAAAAAATGGACATCAAGCTTCAAACATGATACATATGAAAGAAATTTAAAATTAATGTAATAGTAAAAACCCTCCAACATTCATATATACTCGTATATGTGTGTATGTATGTACTCGTATGTATGTACAGGTGTGTATGTGTGAATGCATATGTAAATATGTATGTGTGTATGTATATATGTTTTTGTGCATCTATTTATGTGTTTATTTATATGAATATATATGTATATATATGTGTATATTTATGTAAAAATGTAAGTTAATAAATTAGGAGAATAAACTTATTATTAATATAGTTACAAGATATTAAGGAACCATGATAAAATAAGGACTGTTTTGGGATTTATAACCTTCTGGTATTGTTTCCTCAACTTTCATAAAATCATATCAGGAGCAGGTAATAATAATGTAGCTTTATACTGTTTAGCATGTCACTGATGCAACTTGAATTTAAATCCAATAATTACCTTGTAGTGTGTGTCAGTCACTTAGAAAATCAGCTATAACTTTTTTCTATTGAAAATAGTACGTGTGGTGCCTTTCTGAAATCTGCATTCAATCAGCAATCTTTTTATTCAATATAATGCAGTTATAGCCCAGTACATTTTTGTTTCACCACAGATGGTCAAAGCTGAAGCAAAAATATCAGAAAGTTATAAATCTCAAAATAGTCCTTATTTGAACATGGTTCCTTAATATCTTTTAACTACATTGCATTTGTATATGATAAAGCAACTATCTACAAGTATTTTATAGAAAAAATTAACAAAGTATAACCTTATTAAAGACCACAGATGAAAAGTGTCGTTTTTTTCAAAAATATAAGAAAAAATTCAATACCTCAAAAACGGTGACACTTTTATATAGGTAACTTTTTGTTATTTAGGAGATCAGTCCAAAGCCTACCTTCTTCTTAAGTTGGTCGTGGTGCTTATTGGACACCCTATATATATATATACAGGGTGACTTCGAAGTTGAGTCATTTATTTTAACAGTGAGTAGATCTGATCAAAAGAAATGTTTTTTTCCTTTACCATTTTTCTGGTAAAATTAAAGTAACAAAGTTATAGCCCTTTGGAAGTTTGAGTACCGCCCTGCCTATTATATGCTCGTGTTTGGCGACAACGGATATAATCCGCCTGACCGGTTCATCGCATCGGAAACAAAAACGCGAAAGAATTTGAAACGTTTATCACGATGTTTTTCGTTAGTCGATAACGCGTAAGTGAATAGTAGTGTGTTGCGTGGTTCAAACGAAATCAAAAATGGCACATGTTTACGAAAATGCTGAACTTGTGGACATGACTCTTATTTACGGGGGGGCAGTCTTTACAAAATGCTCCCGGATGCATCACGGATTTATGCGAATCGGTTTCCCAATCGAGTGCAACCAACCCCTCGTGCCTTTGTTAATGTAGTACAAAGGGCTCGTGAATCAGGTGACTTAAGACCTCACAGGTGAGGGCATGCTGCTCCAAGACCGCACGATCAAATACAGGTCCGCACTGAAATACTTGTCGGGAGGATACTTTATTAAACAAGGTAACATTTTTTTTTATTTTTTTTTTATTTTTACACAAATATTTTGGTTTATCTTCCTTCTACAATCATTATCTGAAAATTAATGACTCAACTTCAAAGTCACCCTATATATATTAATTAATTTTCAGATAATGATTGTAGAAGGAAGATAAACCAAAATAAGTGTGTAAAAATAAAAAAAACATTAAAAAAAAAATGTTACCTTATTTTATGAAGTATCCTCCCGACAAGTATTTCAGTGCGGACCTGTATTTGATCGTGCGGTCTTGGAGCACCGGCAGGCTCTCCCCTGTAAGGTCTTAAGTCTCCTGATTCACGAGCCCCTTGTACTATATTAACAAAGGCACGAGGGGTTGGTTGCACTCGATTGGGAAACCGATTCGCACAAATCCGTGATGCCGCGGCAGCATTTTGTAAAGACTCCCCTCCCCGTAAATAAGAATCATGTCCACAAGTTCAGCATTTTCGTAAACATGTGCCATTTTTTATTTCGTTTGAGCCACGCAACAAACACCACTATTCACTCACGCGTTACCGACTGACGAAAACCATCGTGATAAACGTTTCAAATTCTTTCGCTTTTTTGTTTCCGATGCGATGAACCGATAACGCGGACTATATCCGTTGTTGCCAAACACGAGCACATAATATTATTATTGAGACAGGGCGGTACTCAAACTTCTAAAAGGCTATAACTTTGTTACTTTAATTTTACCAGAAAAATGGTAAAGGAAAAAACATTTCTTTTGATAAGATCTACTCACTGTTAAAATAAATGACTCAACTTCGAAGTCACCCTATATATATATTACGAGTATATATTAATTACGTTTTCTTTTTAATATCTACAACCTTTTGCAGTTTATATTTTATGTAGAGGCACGTGAAATAGGATATTTAGGTATAGTTGACGACAAACTTATCGCGTATTTTTATCGATGGTCGTTAAGAATAAGCCATAAAAGCTAGAAGGAGGCTTTTCTGGCAGCTCATCTGGACACACCTGCTAGCTTCTAGAAAAGCGAGACGCGAAAAGAAGGTGGGGGCTAGTGGTCTCGCGTCGATTCATGTGAATTTGTTGCTATGCTCGTATCGAAAGAATGCGATTCATTTTGGAATAATTGAATTACATAAAACTACTAGTGCTTTTTACGTTATTTATATTTAGACCTGTGTCATATAATAACCATAAACATGCTAGAGGAGTGTCGGTATCATACAGAAGCAGAAAAATATGTAAATAGACGCTATACTCGTATGTCGTGATAGTTCACCACTGATTTTTTGGCAAGCTTCACAAGCGGCAAATATATTTTCTTAAAATGTAGTCGGGTAGTCAGGTCGGCTTACACAACAATCAATGATGGATTTTACTATAGATGCATATTCTCATTGGAAGAAAGTAGTAAAAATACTAAAAAGATTTAATAATGTAAGAGTGAACTTACATACTCTAAAAAGCTAACGTGAGTGAACATACCTACAATTATCAAAATCTGCTTACATAGCTGAAAGTTTTCAAAGAGTTCTCACCATGGACGAAATGAACTAAGACTATGAAAATACATAAACTCTTACGGGGGAAATCATCATGTCAAGTAGGAATAAAGTGAGACTTGAATCGAGTAATTTCGCATTTTGTAACTATAACCAAAATTTTAGAAAACCCCAAAAAATCGTATCGGTTATTGAAAGTTCTGATCTCTATTGTTCAGATTTTTCACACTGTCTTCATAGTCTAGAGATGCCATTACAATTCCAGTAAATAAAATACTAAACACACAGAGAATTTTTGTATTAGACATATAGTCCTAGGGGGGCAACTTATGGTCGAGTATATAAATAATTAACATAATAGCGGAACAATGCAGTTCCTTTTTTGAGCGCCATCAATCTTTATATGGGTTACATCAATAATACCAACGATTCCAGGAAATCCATTTTTATTCAAGAAATATTGCTTTGTCCTATTTCTTCCTTGTTCTTTATGCCATTTTCTAATTTCTGGTGCCAGACTACTCAGAAAGTTGGTCAATCTGGCTATAACATCATGCAGAGAACTCACAGGAACATTGAACCTATCAGCCACATCCCTGAAGCTGTCTGTTTGATGTCCAGCAAACCATAAAAATGTAGGCGTTTGTTTATCCGGGTTAGCTTCAAATATGGCCCTACTTGTTAATTAAAATGGCTACTGCCACGGAATTTCACTGATATTTCTTCTGCCGCTTCCCTGCTCACCCGCAAATGTTCCAAAAACTCGTTGCTGTTGGATTGTGGCAGTGTTTCCTCCACAAAGCCCAGGTTTTTGCTTGATATATCGCTCATAGCAATCGTCTTTTGCGAAGCAATATTAGTCCTCAAGATAGCTTCGACACACTCTGATACCTGTCACTGTCACTTATTGACTGGGGTTCTCTGACCTGTCAGAAGGTGCTAAACGAACACCGGACTAGCTGTCGGCAAATAGTCATAAACTGTACGAACATCTCTCTGATTCCGATTTTGACAGTCTCAGACAAGTTACCGACTACTGTAGGAACAAACCATAAATCGTTAAAATTTTCTAATCACTAACACAGGAAGCTACGACATACTGGCGACATCTCAAGGGAACCATTTTTAATATATTGCAGTTGATTATTTAATCACAGATTTCACGTGTGAAATTTCAGTGTTGGTTTTTGTAGTTCAGGCATCGAAGCTGTCGCAGAGGCAGAAGCCTGAATACCAGGCCACTGCGGCTGCTATGAGGAGCTTAAAGAAGCTCTATTAATTATTTAATTAATAGAGCATATATGCTACGCTTTTCAATTAACTGTTATTTCTGAATATAATGCATATTCCGAAACCTCGTACAAAAACTATTACATTACGATAATTAATAAGTGAACTCACAGATGGCAGCATGCGGGCTTGTTCAAGTTAGTGCAAGTCGGTGCGTCCTACAACTCTGACGTTCGCACAAAATTGAACAAGTTTGGTCCTCGTTTTTGATGAAATATTTCAGTGAAGTTGCACTATAAAATTGCTGTGGCCAGGAATATGGTAAGCTTAACCCACATTTACTATTTTTATCCCGAAAAATGTGAAATAGAATTTCAAAACGCTTACTAAAGAAATGTTGCATATATGCAACAATTCCCTTTACAGCCTAAAATATTCACGCGGGATTTTTAAAGCAATGTTGCATATCTGCAACAACGCGTAATAGAATTCTAACAAAAGGCGTCCAATTTTCTGATTTTCTCTGCAGGAAATTTGGGAAAAGAAGAGGCCGCTAACGCAGGCGGAGCTTCAGTACTTTGCAAACTATTTGTCTGAAGTCAGTGAAGACGGACTAAAAACTTAAGATGACGATGACGACGCGCTCCCACAAGATTTTGCTAACATTTCGCCAGCTAATGATCTTCTGGATGATGAAAATGATGATTTTGATATAGACAAAATGCCCATGATAATTTTGCCTGATCTGTCACTAGACTCGCGTCCTGTTTCTAACGAACATTTGTATAAAAAGCAGTCATTTGTACATGTTTCTGAACAATCTTTGGAAAGTAATAGCGAATCATGTTCAGCTTTACAAGAAGACGAATATCTAAACGTATTACGTGCAAGCAGCCAACAAAACATTTTCTCCGGCAATATACCAAAACACGATGCCAATAAAGATACTAGTCGGAAACGCAAGAATGAAGTACTCCGCAATGACTAAAAAACAAGAACAAAGAAATCAGCTGAGGATCAAAGAAGAATTAGAGAAGTCTTGTGTAAGCTGAAGTGGAGAGAGGGCAACTTGATTATGCCCGAAGAATCTGTTAAATTTAAAGGTAGTGAAAAACTGCCACATGTGTTTTGCAATTTGGAAACTCCTTACCAGTTCTTCACCTACTTTTTTGATCAAGCTCTTATCAAACTTATCGTGGACCAGTCAAACTTATTCTCGGTACAATTAGATACAGGCAATCCTGTATCTCTACAAGAAACTGATATAAAAAGATACATTGGAATACGTGTTCTGATGTCAATTATACATATGCCCAATATGCGAAGCTTCCACCATTGGTACAGATATTATCAAAAATACGATGTCGCAAAAGCAATTCGAGAAAATAGAAAAACACCTGCATTTCAACGATAACTCTAAAATGTTACCTAAGGGACATGAACTGCATGATCGACTTCACAAAATTCGGCCACTGGTTGATCACCTTCTTGATCGTTACGAGTCTGTTCCTTATGAAGCATGCCTATCAATTGATGAACAGATGTGCCCAACAAAAAACAAAAAAAGTTATCTCAAGCAATACATGCCAGCAAAACCGCATAAATGGGGATTCAAGGTTTATGTGTTGGCCGGAGCTTCAGGATATTGTTATAATTTTGAAATGTACAGTGGACAAGAAAACACAATAGGGCTAAATGAGGGTGATTTAGGGGCATGTGCTAACATCGTAACCAGACTTCTACGTAATCTACCAAATGATTTGAATTATCATGTATACTTTGATAATTATTATACCACCTTACCACTTCCGGCACAGCTATCTCAACGCGGTGTTCAAGCTTTGGGTACTATCAGAAGAAATAGGATACCAAAATGCCCCCTTCCAGGAGATAAGGAAATGAGTAAAGAAAATAGAGGTACCAGTAAGGAATATATTACAGAGATGGAAGGAGTACCAATTTCTTCAATTGCATGGAAGGACAATAAAATTGTGTCCCTTGTGTCTACATTTTGTGGAACTCTTCCCAAATCCAAAGCTGACAGATATGGTAAATCTCAAAATAAAAGAGTGGAGATCGATTGCCCTAAGATTGTAAAAGAATATAATAAACATATGGGAGGAGTAGACCTCATGGATAGTTTGATTGGTCGATACCGTATCAAGCTCAAATCAAGGAAGTGGTATTTCAGACTCTTTTATCACCTTTTGGACAAGCCAATAGTAAATGCTTGGCTTCTATGTAGGAGAGTTAATGCTCAGAAGGGAAATACTAAAACACTTCGGCTGGCAAATTTTAGGATTGAATTAGAAGAAACACTTTGCAAAATAGGTATTCTTCAAAACTCAAGAGGACGTAAATCTGATTTGGAAAAGAAAATCCAACAGAAACAACGCTCTCGTAACTGTACTATTTCTCCTAGTGAGGTACGGGTCGACGAGAGCTCACACTGGCCCGTATGGATGGAAAAACGGTTACGTTGTAAACTTCCCAAGTGCGGTGGGTTTACGTACGTCATGTGTGAAAATTGCCAAACCTCGCTGTGCTTTAACAAAGCTAAAAACTGTTTCCATGATTTCCATAAATAAAATGTTAAAAGCATATTCCAAAAGCTTAAGTCCTATTTCTGTAAGCTACCAACCAGCATAGTTCCGTGATTTGCATATTTAAGTTGTAATGTTCGCTGTAGCACATATGATACATTAAAAAAATTGCAAAAATAAAGTTTTTCTTAATTTGGATTTTTTAACTATTTTTTGTGGTAATTTAACATCAAATATATTTTTTTACCATAATAGAAAAAATCGCGCATTTAAGGGTTAATCCGATCTTTGAACTACCTCAGCTTAGTAGAATTGGGAAAAGCCTCCTCATGTAGATTCTTCCACAATCTCAATACCCTAGGGACTCAGAGGCGGCGTATCGGTCAGATCTGGATGTAACGAAGTTCGACACGGTTAGGTGGTATGGTATGGTAAGCCGAAGACAGCAGAGTCTGTCTAGCAGGGACATCGCGCGGCGGCATCATGGGTGAGAGCTCTGAGGAGCAAAGCCCCTTAACGGTTGGTCACCGACGTCGACGTGCGAAAGAATCGCGAGCCTGTCCGATAGAAAAGGATCATTGATCAGTCGGACAGCCCTCCTCTAAACAGGGTAGAGCAAGGAGAATGTAGTCACGGCAGCAGCACTCCAAACATGTAAGCAGTACTCGCGGCTTTATCTTATCTGGATCTACAAGGTGAGGAGGTTATATGGAGAAAAGAACTGCACAGCCCTAAACAAATAGCCTCTCTTCTCGGTACGTACTTTGACAGTAGACTAAACCTTTGTGAACATATTGATCATGTTGCACAAGCTTAAGTAAACCGTATCAGGTTTTCTACAATGAAAGAATTTTTGAACGCAAAAGGATTAGTGGAAGTCTGTTGAGCATTGCCATATAGTCACTTATCTCACAATATTAGGGGAGCCTAAAAGCGAATTATTAGGTTAATGTTTGGAATGAAACCCCACGATTCATGTAGAGAAGGTTTTACATCTAAGGAAACTCTCAGTTTGTATTGTATCATTTTAAAATGTATCACTTGTGTTAAAATATATGACAACCTGCTAGCGAACATTAATACTTATCATGAATGATAAGAGGTTCAAAATTTGAAAGTGGTGTCAGTGAAAAATCATTATTAAAAAGCTGCTGATCCCAGTGATACTATAGTAAGTAATACATATTTTCCCTACATCTGCCATGGAAACAGAAATATAGTAGATTTGCTTTGTATGCAGAAGTACCTAAGATCTTTCGTACCTAATTGAACCTACCTAATCACGAATAGATTTAGCGTTTTGACATGATTTAACATATCCCTTTCACCTTTAAAGCTTCCAACGTAGGCTTAGGAGGTATAAGCCAATATACTTGGGACCATTTTTTTTATTTTTTATCATCGACCATCATGTGCCCAGCGACTCTCTGAACGGTGGTAAATACATAAAAATGTAGTTTAGCAGATTGGCTGAGTATTCCCTAGACGTATATAATTTTCTTGTGTTAACTTTCATCGTATTATTATTTTTTTATAGATTGTACCCCCATTTTATACGTAAAAACGAAGCATTGTGAAATATTTTCATAAAACCAGGTTATAAGCAAATAAGCTTAATAATATATCTGTCACTATTGGCTTACCTAAACTGTTGTTATATCGATACAGCAGTTGTCTTATACAGTTGTCCTAGCAGAAAGTATCCCTTTTCATCTTTCGGCATTGACATTCGGATGTAATATAATATTGACTGTGTAACAATTCATTCTTAGTATTTTTAGTACACTCGTTTATTTCTCTCTGTAACGATTTTTCCAATTTCCTTCATTTTTTCTGAAACAGTTGTAATACTATTTGTATTCAAAATAACATACATTGATAGGGGCTTTTGACTTGCACAACATGACCTACCACAATATAAACTTCCTTAAAATTGACGGGTGGTCAAATTCCAGGTTTTGCGCCTGGTACTTCAATCTTTAATAATCATGTTCAGGTCATCATTATGATGTCTGATCTATATTAGTAACATTATAATTTATATTGGCCGATATGCCGAATTTAAATAATACAAAGTGAAATTTTAATAAGGCCAACTACAAAATTTAATTAACTATGTGACAGCTAACAAGATTCATTAGTTTGATTAAATTTCGACTTCTAAAATAGTATACTTTAATCTATGAAGCTAGTTTAATAAAATTAAAACGCAATCATTAAAATTTTCAAACCGTTTGCTTAGATTGAGTACACCAACAATTTTTTTCCTGAAAACGGTCGGGAGCCTCTGAAACATGGAATTAGGGGCATACCGGCCACCATAAGGAGCCAGCGCATGGGCCACTTACACGGGCCCTTGTGCACCTCTACATTCCTTAGACCTCAAACGGCGTCATTCTAGAGAAGTAAAGTATGGCCTTGAGTCCAAGCTCCTTAACTTGCTGGGGGTCCATAGTATAGGACCCCAGTATAGTCTGCCTGTGGTAGATAAGAGCCTCACAGCGACACAGAACGTGCGCCGAGGTCTCTTCCTCTACCCCGCAGCGCTAACACAAGGGATACTCAGCCACCCCCATCACGTGCAGGTGGTGCCTTAACGTGTTAGGGCCAGACAACGGTCCCTCCAGCAACCTTAGGTTGGCTCTATCCAAAGATAAGCAAAACGGTCTATCCTTAGCGCTGGGCCCTACAATGAGTTTCCGTGCCTGACGTAGATGTCTAGAGATGCTTCTCTATTTCTGAGAGTGTTTTCTTCTAACTCACTTCTCCATTTCCCTCCTAACCCTTAGCGCGGACACCCCTAAAGCTAGCCCAGGACCAACTTGCTTGCTGACTGATCCTGTCTTCGCCAGAGCATCCGTCGTCTCATTTCCCTTTATCGCAGCGTGCCTCGGTTCCTCGGTATCCACACTAACGATACCAGATGCCACGCTGCTAGACAGTCCAGAGCCTCCCTGCACTGCAATACAAGGGTCGAAGTGATCTTACAGGAACTTAGTGCCTTCGTTGCAGCCTGGCTGTCGGAGAAGATTGTTATTCTTCCCCTAGGCCCACCCCCTCCAAAGTGAGGTATACAACAGCCGGAATAGCAACAATTTCCGCCTGGCAAATAGTGGTGTATCCACCAAGAGGCAGAGATAGCCTAGTCCTGGCCCCGAGACCCCGGCGCCAGAGCCATCTTAGGTGGCCGAGCCGTCCGTGTACCAGACTTGCCCACTCACCCCGGTGAGCCTCCGGCAACCGGCGTCCCACTCCTCCCTCGTTGAATACTCCACAATAAACTTGCGGTTGAAGCCATATTTAGGGGTAATCAGATCACCCCTGCTTAGAAGGACGGGATCCTTCCTTTATAGTTAGACCAGGATGGCATTATGACCCTTGACAGGATTCAAGAAGGCCCAGCTGCCCTGACTCCACAGTCGATGAGCGACTACTCTCACTTCTC